AAAAAAAACAATTCACACTCGTAACAACTGTTTCTGCAGGTATCTGGATTTCCCACACTACGAGCTGGAATCCATGCCACGAAATGATTCTAGTCAAGACTGCCTGCGATTGTAGGAAGTCAACATTGCAGGAGTTTGCGGCTACTCTTTTCCAACTTGTCGGTTTGCGTGACGACCAACTACTGTTTCGGCCGTGAGCCGGCTCCTGAGCTATGACCAATAAAATTACAGCAGTACCGTCCACAAAAAGATATCAAAAGAAAACGAGAAAACTCAATTAGACTGCATCAAACATGATAACGGCAGTAGCTGTAAGATTCTGACTGCCTAACGGAAGGCAAGTAAAACTGTTGCACAGACAACTGTGTCACCACGGGCGCAGAGGCACACAAAAAGGAACCGAAATACATGTCTTGTTTTCAGGATTAGCTGATGTGAGTAGATGGTTGGCAAAAAAGCTAACAAATTATTTTGGCTGAGAGCCAAATTAATGCGCACCAACTACCACAATCACTGCTCTAGAGCTACGGTGGCCAAGTTCGAGTAGACAGATTAAATAACAAATAAGAGCTTGGCCTCATACTCACCTCACGAAGAAGTGTAGGGTTGGACAAACACAGGGACTGCGCAGTCTACAGCGCATAGCAACAAGCGCGACTCAGAACAAGTACCTCGGACTCAGCAAACAAGAGACTCCTAACACTCACAATGTCTCACCAGCACCTTTTGCGGAAGAAAAATATTACGCGCTCATGTGACAAACCGCATATACAGGCGATCTGCAGGGATAATAAAAATAAAGGATTTCCGATGTCTCTTGTGAAACAATTTCTTACAAATTATAGGCCAGCGTAGGTCAATGGACACATTAGTGGACACTAAACGTCATAGCTGAGTGGCTACAGCCGCCTGGACCGAGTACTGCACCAAGGAGCCGATGGGAAAACGATATGCATCGACCTGAACAACCTACCAGACTGTACACCATATCTCCGTAGGACTGAAGTGGAGGGCGGTGAGATTCGTGTCCCAGGTGGCAGAGTGATGAAGACGAGTTACAGATGAATATAGAACATCGGGTAGTATCAACCCGACCATTTCTTAACAGACGCATAGTGGCACTACTAGGCCAGGAGGAATGCCAATAAAACTGGATGCAATAGTTGACATAATGGGGCGAGAGGTAGACCGGTTATCTTCGAAGCATCTGCCAGGATATGGCCCTTGTGTAGACGTCGGCTCCGTGGAGCCACCAATAGGGACTGAGTGCCAGATGGGGTCAATGTGAAAAGGCCATCAAGCGCAATAAAGGAATTTTAGGAATACCAATTCAGCAACCTGCATCCCTCAAAAGGACACATTGTGCAGTAATGATCAAAAAAGGCTGCCATACGGAAAACAAGCTTACCGGTGAGGGGAGAAGCAAACCACTCCTGAAACTCCCTATGCGACTGAAAGATGTTTGGCATTAGAAAGTGCATCAGAGACCAGAGCTCCATGAGGGAATTCTGCAGAGGAGTACCAGTTAGGAGGAGTCGACGTTGGCTGGTGAATGTGAGGAGAGTTTGCCACCGTTGGGACTTGAAGTTTTTTATATTTTGAGCCTAGGAAAGTAGCAAAAGAATGTAATTATAATCCAGAGGTCATAAGAGCCACAGGGAGAGTGGCAATGCCTGTGCGAAATATAAAGCCCCATAGTCTGTTGTGATGCTTTTGACAGTAAAGCACGCATCAAGAAGCAAAAACTATAGACCTGGTGGAAGTGGGAGGAATTAATGACCGTGTCACGTGGAACAGCAATTTAAGCTCGACTGTCAAGTGAGACAGACAAAGAGATGAACCTGACCAGAATGATTCTGATCTTTAGTTCACTGCACACGGTATCACATTACTACTGAGATGCAGCAGATCATCGACGTGGTAAAATTAAGCCGTCAGCTGTCATGCAAATGATCCAGTCTACCCGGTGACTGCTACTAACGTGTCTGGCGGGAAGAAGAGCATGGGGCAATAATGATATTTCCGATAGAAGAAAAGAACATACCTCGTCAAGGATCAGATATTTCCACTTTTTCCTTTTGAACGCGGAGCTATCCTGGATGGCCAAACGGTAGGACGTGATGCAAACGTGAAAGGCATTGGTTTTCGTCCAGCCCTAGAGAAGAAGCAACATCAGCGGAAGATTAACGGAGTACAGTAACCAAAAACCTGCCACCATCACATTATAACAACAGTGTCTGACTTACGTGTAATGACGTAGTAACAGAACTCAAGTCTAGTGATTTCTAGGCGGAAACACTTTGATGGTGGCAACTATTACACGATTTTAGGATTGCTTACGATGCTCCCCTCCCTCCTCCAAATGCAGAACAGGGGAATTGTAACGTCAATACAGGTGGCCTTTCGGAAAATTTCAGAAAACGTACCTATTCCCGTGTTCTAACCCAATACGTACTCCAACATTAACCATAACCCTGGGCCTGACCTTACTTGAACTCTAAAATTTAAAACGATCTAAACCTTGGTACAAAACCGCAGGTATTATGGAGCACCCCTCCTCCTCCTATCTTGTCGGGGATGGCGGCCGCATAAACGACCTGTACCTTTTTCAAAACATTCTATGCACACAAAACCTGAAGCGACGCAAGGACCGCACAAGGTATTTTTGTAAACAGTACGAAATCAAGACGTTCAAGGGTGTCTCCAACTTCGCTAAAAGCACGTGCAGGCCCTTGACAACAGTCACCCACAATAGCATTGGCATCTGCAGTGGACCAAACTGATGAATGTCTACTGCTCGCGGTGTGCGGCAGAACGTAAGTCGTTTCAAAATAAGCAATACCCTTCCGGGAAACTTTGGAGTACGTATCACTTCTATAAATACTGATTTCCCAGTAGACTTTGCAAAATATCTTCCAATCAACTCATAGATAGGCGTTATTTCGTAATGTGTGTGTGGGGTCAAACAGCGAAAAAGTCCGGACCTTGGGACTTGCAACAGGAGGAAGCACAATGATTAGAAATCACATTAAGGTAAACCCACTTTTCGCTTCAACTTGCGCTCCTTTAGATTGCCGAAGTAGGTGAGGATCTTGAAGCCGGGACACCAGCGCTTGAATTCCACTTCCCAGTTGAGGATGACACTGGTCGGAACCACGATCAGATGCGGTCCCCAGATCCCCATTTCACAGGCCAGATGGGCTAACAGAGCGATAGTCTGGATGGTCTTGCCCAGACCCATCTCGTCTGCGAGGATACCATTAAGGCGCTTTTCATAGATCGCGGCCAACCAGCTCAGGCCGACAATCTGGTACTCGCGCAGGGTTCCGGTCAGCAGGAAGGGTGTCTTCACGTTGGCCATCGTAGAGGCCAGGGTGTTGCCTTGTGGCTGCGCGCTCATTGCGTCCGCGGTGAGAGCATTCAGTTCGGCATCGTCCTGATAAGGGAAAAGAACAAGGGGAAGAGTAGGATCACCCAAAACACTTTAGCCGACTAATCTCAAGTGGTTTCTAGTGGAAGATGGCTAATCAGTGGAATGTTTTTTGACGATCACTGCTCACGGTCAGCAGAGATCCCCTTCCATGTGGGACAATCACATACCTTTCAGATGGACGGCCAGAACTACTGTTAAAGGTGTTCATTCGCCTTATTTGTGAATCTACTAGGGTAGAAGCGAATATAAAAATCGACCAGAGGGCTTACACTGCAGCTCCACCTATGTAAACTGGGGCGAAAGGTTTTACTGAAGGATGGAGATAGTGATTAAAAACTTATGAAA